TAGTAATAGTCATAGTAGTAGTAGTATTAGTAGTGGTGGTAGTAGTAGTAGTAGGAGTAGTAGTAGTAGTAGTAGTAGTCGTAGTAGTATAAGTAGTAGTAGTAGTAGTAGTAGTAGTAGTAGTAGTAGTAGTAGTAGTAGTAGTAGTAGTAGTAGTAGTAGTAGTAGTAGTAGTAGTAGTGGTAGTAGTAGTAGTGGTAGTAGTAATAGTAGTAGTAGTAGTCGTAGTCGTAGGTCGTAGTCGTAGTCGAAGTAGTAGTAGTAGTAGTAGTCGTATTAGTAGGAGTAGTAGTAGTAGTAGTAGTAGTAGTATTGGTCGTTCGTCGTAGTACTAGTAGTTAGTAGTAGTAGTAGTAGTAGTAGTAGTCGTAGTCGTAGGTCGTAGTCGTTAGTCGTAGTCGTTAGTAGTCGTAGTCGTAGTCGTAGTTCGTAGTCGTAGTCGTAGTAGTAGTAGTAGTAGTAGTAGTAGCGTATTTGGTCGTAGTAGTAGTAGTAGTAGTAGTAGAAGTAGAAGTAGAAGTTAGAAGTTAGAAGTTAAGAAGTAGAAGTAGTAGTAGTAGTAGTAGTAGTAGTCGTAGTCGTAGTCGTAGTCGTAGTCGTAGTCGTAGTAGTCGTAGTCGTAGTAGTCGTAGTCGTAGTCGTAGTAGTAGTCGTAGTCGTAGTCGTAGTCGTAGTCGTAGTCGTAGTCGTAGTCGTAGTAGTCGTAGTCGTAGTAGTCGTAGTCGTAGTCGTAGAAGAAAAAATAATAGTAATAGGACCTCGTCCCCGCGCTGGGGGCCACGAAGGGCATTCGTATACGGGGCCGCAAAGGGCGACAGCGGGGCCACTGGGGGCAGCAAAAAGACCACGAAGGGCGGCGGGGGGGCCACGAAGGGCGACAGCGGGGCCACGAATGGCATGCATATGGGGCCACGACAGGCGCGTGCGAGCGGGGGCCACGAAGGGCTTTTAATGCGGGGCCACAAGAAGCAGCGACGGGGCCACTGGGCAGCAACGGGGCCACGAAGGGCAGCGAGTGAAAGCGGGCGAAGGACAGCGAGCGGCGACTGCAATCATTAACGGGCTGGTCGAGCGGGCAGGCCCCGACGGGCGGGTCGTTGAAGCGTGAGTCCTGCAGAGGGAGCGCGATTCCTGAGTGTCGAGGACCGGATTGTGAGGAAGTATCGAGCGAAGCGGTTCGGTGGTAAGTTGCGAGGAAGTCCCAAGCGAGAACGCGAAAAAGTCACAGCCGAGAGCGCAATGCCTGAAAAGGGGAGGTCTGGCGGGAGCGGGGCTCTGGACAAGCACAAGGAAATCTTAAGCGGGAGCGCCGTTCTTGAGTAAATTGTGAGGAAGCCTCAGACCTGAGGGGGGGTCCTGACTAAATCGCGAGGAAGTCACAAGCGGGAGCGCCGATCCTCAGTACATTGGAAGTCTTACGCGGGAGCGGGGGTCCTGAGTAAAGTTGGAGGAAGTCTCAAGCGAGAGCCGTTGTTGTTGTAGTCCGGGGGAGCACCGTTCCCGAGTAAATTGGGAGGGAGGCTCAGACGGGAGGGGGGGGTCCTGAGTAAATTCGGAGGAAGTCTCAAGCGGGAGCCGTTGTTGTTGCAGTCTGGGGGGCCAGGGGCACGGTTTGACCACCAAGACTTTCCCGAGCGTCGAAGGGCACACTTTGACTGAGGAAAAAAACATGCACCGGTGAGGGGGGATCAACAATAACTATTCTTCAGAAAATGAGAATTCAACAACAACAACAACAACAGCAACAGCAACAGCAACAACATCAACAATAGTTATGCAGATGCAGACGTGGTTTCTTCTGGGCTGCGGGCCCTCCAACGCTTAGGAGCAGAAGGGGCCTATGTTTGTTCAGCGTGTTCCTCCTCCCTGGCATGGACGAGCGCCAGTCCTGGTTTGCCTGGCGGCGCTGCGTTCTACACTGCAGTCCATCCGATGGCGTGGGGCCTCGAAACACTTGGATAGTCTGTGTGTCCCACACCACGTGGGAGAACGGTGGGGGCCAGAAGCAATTCAACATGTCACGGTCAAGCGCCATTCGCGTCGGCTTGAAAGTCGCCCGGTAAAAAGCTCCCACGGGGGGCACGTAAAGATAACAGCACATTCAATTTCGATCCGTGCCTACTTCTGGCCACCCTGGGCAGACGGGACAGGACAATTTCAAAACGCTACACCAAACCAACAAGAAGAAAACCATGCTAACGGAAAGAAGCTACGAGATGTGGAGAAATATTCATACTGGCAGGACAATGGCAACCTCGCCCATTCTTTTGACGAGGCGGCAACGGGTATGGCCGCTGCTCCTGTCTGCCCGGCCCTACCTCTCGCGCGGATTTCCGAGGAGGCGCGGGCATGTGGGAGAGGAACGTAGCAGGGCGAGGGAAAGCGACGATTGAGCGGAGGCGAGGGGTTCACATATCACAGAACGAGAAGTGGCCGTGGAGCAGCGGGGAATGAAAGCTACAAGGCATCGCACTGCGCGCGCGATCCACAACACTATAACCAGAGACGGAGAGCCTGGAAGCGACCCCGCCACTGAGAATGATCCACCGTGCGCGATCGCGCTGCCGTGCGGGTGCTCCTGCAAGAAACCAGGGGCCTGCAGACCTCACGGCCCGGCGGCCTCCTCCAACGCAGCTTCCTGCCGGCGAGGAGCGCACAGCCAAAGTCTCGGATGCTCAAGTCGGCTTGCGGCCCTCGGGATAGGATGCTCAAGGGGGCTGTGATGATGGAGAATGATGGGGTAAGGGATCCAGAGAATGCAAGCCGACTGGCAACCTGCAATTCATGCCTGGGCACCCTTGCCTCCCTCGTAGGACAAGGGATGTGCCGCAACCTGACCAATTCGGGGCACGCTCCTGAACAACCCGCCGCAATTGAGAAACATGATCGACTGCAACGTGACGTTTGCTGATGCGATGCAGTGCTCTGGAAATCGTCAATCGTGTGACCCAGCGCCGTCCACATGAGCGGTGCACCGAGCGCTCGTGGGCCGGATCTGGGTGTGGCTGCAGCGAGCTCGGAGCCCCTGCATCAACAGAAGCGTGAGGGAATTCATGTGATGAAGGTAGTGCTTCATGCCCGCTACAGTCGGGGCGTTGACCTACGGAACCCTAAATAAGGAACGAGGCCCGTATTTTCCATAAGTTAAACTTCGATTTCATATCGAAAACCTCAGGAAACCTGAAGGCAAACTGCAGAACAATCAAGGAACGCCGAACCCCTCTCCAACGAAAAGGGTTCCTTCTTCAGGGCCCCGACTGTAACTTATGAATACAAGCATACATGTGCTAGAGGGGCGCTCAACGGTCCCAGCCCAGGAGGAACCATGCCATTCTATAACATGTACGCTCCACATTCGAATCGTAAGCGCTGCTTCTGCAAAAGCTGATGCAAAACGACCTCAATACATAATGGACGTGGCAGTCCGCTCTTTTGCAAGAATGTGTCAAGCATCACGTTAAGACGTTGGGTGACTGGAGGCCCAACCAATTAAACTGAACCAACACTCATACTTCTTCTTTCTCTTATTCTCCTCTCTCCCTGCCTCGAGATTCTACGAGAAAGGCATGGTAAGCGCACCGAAATCTCGCCGTAAGGTAGTATATCCTTCGAGTTCTCCTGGCCGCACACTGGCATGCCAACACGCTAAGCCGTCCCCACGTATCGCCGCCCTCATATCCCTCTCCAAAGTAGCATTTCCTCTCTCTGTACTCCTCCTGTGCCCCTTTGCCCTTCCAATTCCTTCATCCCAGTGCATCTCTGTATGATTGGTGATCACGCTGATCAGCCAGCGGGTTGTGCCGCAGTTGGTGTGTGAGTGAGTGTGTGTGTGTTTGTGTGGATTGGGGGTCCCATAGCTGTTGCCTCGCACTGCTCGTGCGAAACGAATGATGAGAACTCCCCAAAACGTACCAGACGGATCGAAGCCAACATGCGTCAACTCGTTACTCCAAAACCATCAATTCTTGGCCCTCAGACGAGCGAACAAAAACGATAGCCCAAGAGAACCGCCCTCTCCTCCTCCCTCATCTCTTCCTCCTTGAACTCCTAGCTCTGGGGCACTCGCTGAGGGTCTGGTCTACCCATGGGACAAGTGATGGTGTGAAGGAGCCCGATCGTCCTTTCTGGCAAGTGCACTGGCGCAGCAAGACTTAGGGGTGGGGGAGAGTATGGAAGCCTGCGGTGATGATCAATTCCCCAATCAGTGCTTGCACTGAAGGGGTCCTGGCGGAGATTTGGCGAAAGTGCCGGGCCGATTTCGGTTGGGGGCCAGGTTCCCGGGTTCCCGAGATTCCGGTTGCTGGTTCCAGAGCAATTTCGGCGGGCGGCGGGGTTCCCGGGTTTCCGGGTTCTTGGTCGTTCTCCATATCGATCGGTCTCACCATCGATCTCACTACCCACCTCTCTCCCACCTCTCTATTGATGTCACAATCGATCCCACTATAGATCGCACGAGCGAACTTATCGATCTCACTGAATCGACTTCACGATCGGTCTCACGATCGACCTTACTATCGTCCTTACTATCGGTCCCGCTATCGGTCTCACTATTGATCTCACATTCGATCTCAATATCCATATCACAAATTTTCAAACCATCCGCTGATTTTGATTTCTCTGATGAAATGTATTTAACAAGGCAATACACTGGAGAGCAGAGGAAATCTATTCTTGGTTTACGGTTTACGAAATTAGAACAATCGCGCGCGTTCGAATTATTGGGAGCCCAATGTGAAACGTAAAGGCGAGCAGTTCTATAACGACCGTGGACGGTGGGTGTCGAAACCAATTAGTTCGTTGTGGAAAAAGCGATCAGCATTAGTGTTCCAGTAGGGTGGGGGAATGCACAATTAGCAATAACGATGATCTACACACATCTCTATTATATATATATATATATATATATATATATATGCACATGTGCATGCGTATGTTTTCGGGCGCTGCTGTCCCCTCGCCCCGCGCTCTTTACCTGCCACGGACGAGGGGCGGGGTGTAGGGACGGAGTGGGAAGCGGGGGCTAGGGGGAGGGAAGTCAGGCGGAACCAGGAGGGAGGGATACAAGACGAAGGGACTGGGAAGAAGAGGTCATCTGAGGGCCTGTCTCGAGATCCGCTCTGGGCGCTCTTGCCGCATCCACTGGGGCCATCGTGGGCCCACCTGCAACTCGTTCGCCCGCCCCTCCTCCCCTCGTCCTCTATCACCCTCGTCCATCTCGGGGGCGCTACTGGGAGCGTCTTGAAGCGACCCTGGGGGCCTCGTGGGTCGTCTTTGGCGCTCGGAAGGCAAGAATCACGAGAATGCTGAGCTCTCTCAAACACCTGGAGAAAACCAGTGAATTCTGCCTCCGGGGCGGCGCTGTGCCGGCCATCAGAGGGTTGTCTCAGGGCGTCCCGCAGGAACCTCTGGCGGCGCCTTGGGAGTACCAGCGGCCCTGGGAGCCTCGCTTGAACGGTGCCCATCCCCACCAGCGTGGGCTGGGCCCCACTGGCCGATGTACCCCCCCTGGATGGGGATGTCGGCTGCTCTCTTCAGGTTTCGAGGGGCCTATCCCCAACTGGGAGGAATAAGAGGAGGAGGAAAGGAGGAGGAGGAGGGAGAGGAGGAGGAGGAGGAGGAGGAGGAGGAGGAAGAGGAGGAAGATGAGGAGGAGAAGGAGGAAGATCAGGAGGAGGAGGAGGAGGAGGAAAAGGAGGAAGATGAGGAGGAATAGGAGGAAGAAAGGAGGAGGTGGTGAGCCGGTGGGGCTCGAGATGTGGGTTGGGGACCCTGCTGGGGCGTCCTCGGGGCTTCGGGAAGCTCCGCCCATCTGGGGCTAACGGCCCTGGGGCCTCCGGGGCCAAGGGGTTCCAGTGCATGAGGCACAGAGAGGTCTCTCGCTGCACCCCGAGGTTCGAGCCACGCCTCAAAGGGAGGAGGAGGAGGAGGAGGAGGAGGAGGAGGAGGACGAGGAGGAGAGGAGGACGCGAGGAGGGGGGCGGGAGGGAGAAAGGAGGGGGCGCGCGCACACGGGGGAGGGGCGCGGGGGAGCGGCAAAGACCTCCTGCGCAGCGAATCGCGAGAGCGTCTCAGGGGACATCTGGTCAACACTTTGAGATTTCTGCCTGGGCTCCGGTGCACGACATTTCGGCCATAAGGCTCTCGCGGCAAGTCTGAATCTTTGCGTCCAGGTGCGCGGTGGCCTTCTAGACCTTTTGTTACGAAACTCAGTTGGCAGTAGCGTGGGGGGTTCAATCCTAGGTGAATGGTAAAATCGGTAAGCTGGCGACGACGTCACCAGAACTGTGGACGTAACACCGAATGACTCGGCATCTCAAACATGGAAAGGATAACCACATGGAGCAAGGCAGGGGAGATCAGGGAGGCGAGAGACGGCTGGGCTGGAATGGGGACAAGCGTCATCGTAATTCCTGAGCGTCAATACCATTGCGATGCGCAATCAGCATCCAGGAACTTCAGGCGGGCATCGCGAACTAAACATATGATCGGCTCACCTACAACACGCTTCATGACTACAACTGACCGCGAGAGATAATATGACGGTGAAATCATGCCTTGACGTACACTAACAGCGAAGATTGCCGTCCCGACTCCCTCATCGTCCAGCAACCTCCATTCGCTGTTTGATCCGATCACGCTCAAGCCGCTGAGTCCTGACACCAGAACTGCCCAAGCGGCCCTTCGTAGTACCACCAATTTGCCCCGTTGTCCTGGCTGGCACATCTTGAATCTGCGCTGACAGAGGTGGGAGAATGGCCGAGAGGGTGGCATCTGTACGCTATGATGACAAGGGGGGCATGGCATATGGGAACATTGCAAATCGCAGCCATGCTAGATATCGATGAACACTGCAATTTATGGCGTGCACGTCAGAAAGACGAACCAGACTTGGTATTACCATTCCCCGAACACGTACACTCTCGAATTGGAACGCTTGCGCATGGGCAGAGAAACACATGCGCCGGGCTCCAGCGCAGACTGCGGGGGGTGGCGGCTCGTCACTTGGCATGGTCGTGGGCGGGGGGTGGCAAAGCTTCAATACAAACAGGCAATCCGCAATCATCCAGTGACCGTGGAATGATCCTTCTCCTCTTCCTTTTCCTCTCGGCGCCGGCCGCACTGTCGGAACGTATAGAAGTCTCTCTCTCCCTCTCTCTCACTCTTTCCTCTCTGTCGCCCTGTATGCTCTCTATATTTCTCTCTCTCTATGTATATATATATATATATATATTCATAAACACATACACGTACACATACATACGCGTGAGTGGGTATGCTTATATATATATATAGAAATGTAAATATTTAACAAATGAATGTATCCGCCACCGTGCCCCCTGGCACGTCGAGCCGTGGAAGAATGCCAAGGTCTGTCTGGCATGATTTTTGAACTATAAGAACGGATCCTCCCCCTCCCTGCTCGCAAACTCTTGCGTGCAGTGCCCCTTCTTTCCGAGGCCACTTCTTTTCTGCTCGCCAGGCGCGCAACTCTTGATGAATTTCAGAACGGTTACAAAAAGAATATCTGCCACCTGCAATCCAGACCTCTTCCTACTTGTCACGGGTGACCTCCTCAGCGCCAATCATTTGGCAGTGCATTTTTCCTCCGCGCTTACCGTCGCAAGCCCCTTGGCTGCATGACCAGATTTTTGTTTTGCCCCCGCAGGCGACGTGGCAAGAGCTTTGGGAGCCTGAGAACTACTCGAAGCATGCGAGGTCTGAGACGGTGCTCCTGGCGTCTGCTGCGGCTCTCCGCCTCATGGGCCAGGGGTGGCAGCTCGGCCATGGCCACCTGCGCCGTTGCTGGGCTTGCCTGCTCGTCACCTTGTCCTCCGACGCACATGCAGTTTCTGTATGTGGCAACTAATGTGTCTCTGTTCGCGGCGGCGCTCTTATGAACAATCTTATCAGGTGCGTACAAACACGTGTTCCTGACCTTACACATACCAATCGAATATTGCCGACGCAAGATTTGTTCTTCGGCTTTCCGTTCTTAACGTGCAAGCTCGTCTGCTCAGCCTTCGTTTGCGCAGGCGCAACGGGCCTCGGGGTTCCACGAATCGCGTTCGTCGCCCGAAATGTTTTCTGATCGACTTGTGGGAACCGAGTGTAGCCTCAATTCCAAAACTGAAACCGAATATTATCACCATGACATTTATGTTCGGACACTTTCTGAACTGATTGAAGTTACGACCTAAGATCGGCGGCCCTGTGTGGTCGTTGGGTTCAGCCATCCCACGGTGCATCATCTCCTACTTATAGCAGTACGTCAACTCTTCATCGGCCCTCTTCCCGTTCCATGTTCTACTGCGCATCAGCAGGTCGTTGCATGAGTGGACCGCACTGTGATCAGACCTTACTGCCGCGTATCGCACAATGAGCCTCACCATTCCGCACCCCCCCACGGACACGTTCCGAAACCTCATGCATTGCTCGTCTCGCCTGTCGATTTCAGCCAACAGCTGTCTCACCGTATCATTCGACGTCTTTGGCTTGGTCATATTTATGCCTCCCTGGGCTAACATGTTAGTTGCTATAGCGAGCTCACAGCGCGTGAACAGGGCTGGGTCCTTCAAAACGTTTTCGGGGGCGCTGTTGCCCATTGCCTGCTGATGCCGCGATCAAATTTTGTCGGGATCATGGGCTGCGGCCGCAGCAGAGCAGAACGGCAGCGCGGGGTATTTTCGGCAACGTCGCCCTCGATCCGTCGCTCTTCCCGGGCGGTGCGACTTGTCTCGAGCCCCGGGCCCGCCATCGCGCGTGCCGCCCCCTCCTGGCGCACCCCCCCGCCCTCGCCTGAGCCTTGCCGCCGGGCCAGCTCTTCCAGGCCCTCCACCTCGGGGGGGGGGGGGCCTTCGCATCCTCCTGGAAAAAAACTCGTGAACCACCCGATCCAAGGTTTCCCATTCTTGTCTTCCAATCCTCACTTTTGGGGCCCACCAGTGAAAAAGAACTTATCATCGGGCGGGTCGCCCTTCCCGCCGCCCCCGCCCAGCCCGCTGCCCCCGGGAACCCGAGGCATTTTAGCAAGTTTCTTTGGGCCTTTCTCGTCTGCGTCCAAGAGTCCAATCGAAGCGCCATCGATCCCGCCGTCGACGAATCTCGTGTCGAGAGCAGCCTGCGCCTCGGCGGCCTCGGTGGGCTCTCTCCTCGTCTCGCTTCTGATGAGTCTCCTCGCGGTCCCGCGTGGCCCATCGCCTCCGTTCTTCTGAGAGCAGCATCCGCTAGTAATGACTCTTGCGCATCGTTGCCCTTGCTTGACAACTGGCGCTTTTCTTCGCTCCTCAACTCAAGCCACCGCCCCGGAGTCGCACTCTTCCTTTTTGGGCGGGAATGTGCGCCTCCTGCTAGGACCTTCGATGCCCTCCTTCTCCCTCGCCTGCTTGCGGCGGAGCTCTTCTTCCTCTTGCGCGTGGTTCCGCCGCGTTCCCTGCTTCGATCTTCTGATCTGCGCGCGGCGCGCATCTGCTGGCTCCCGCGTCGCAATGGCCATGGAAGCGCGCGCTGGTATGCGCCGCGCAACCAACGCGCCGAGCGCCCTGGCAGAAGTCACACTCAACCTGGCAGCCTCGCGTCATGCCAGTCGCGGTGCGTCCGCTTGCGCAGGCGGTCCTCGCGCCGACCAGCTGCAGCGTAGAAACAGTAACGGATGCCTGTTTCGCGTGGCTAGCACCCTGGGTGTGGGATAGCTGGGTTCTCATAGAAAAGCACTCCTCTCTCCCTCTGGCCTGGCATTCTCATTTTAATCCAGTCCCATTCCCAGATGTGCGTCCTGTTTTGTGCCGAACATAGCAGCAGTCCTGAATTGCAGCTCGTGCGTTTCCTGAGCCTCGGCCATTTCTGCCCCGCGACTCCTAGCGACCGCCGTCTCGATCGCTCGAGCAGCTTCCGCAGCTTCCTTCCTCTTATGGGCCATCGCCTCTGTCTCTGCATCCCTCAGGCGGCGTTCCGCGCTCAGGCGGACTTCCATCTCGCGCGCTTCTGCGACCTCCGCTCGCTCTTCGGCTGCCTAATGATTGCAATTCATCTGGCGAATTTGCCCTTCAGTCGTCCTTGCGCCAGGGGCGAAGCGGCGGCTGCTGCCTGCTGTTGCGCAGCTTCCGGCGCGGCTTATCTGATGGCGTCAAACAAATGGCCCGCTGCTCGGCGCGCTCGACGCATCGGAAGTCTAAGCTGCGCTGCTTGCAAGCCCGAGTATTTCTGACGCGCCGGCCCGGCGCTCTTGCCATATTTTCCTGGGCAGCGGTGTCTGCGCCGACGGGGCAGCGGGCCGTGGGAATCCAGCGCCCATCTCCAGCGGACATCCGGCTTGCGGTAGACTTGCCAGAGCTGGCAGCGCACGCCTTTCTCGTAGCCCTTCCCCGCACCGAGGAACAACTGCCACTTCTCGATGTTATGTCTAGGCTTTGCGCCGAGGTTCGCGATGGCTCCTGGTCATATTTCTTCGCCCTTACTGGGGCCAAGGGCATGTCTGACCTCGCGTCGCGTGGATTTCGAACTGCCTTTGATCTGCCCCGGTGGGCGATTTTGACGGCAGGCGACGCGGGGCCGACGGCAAAGCCGCCCTGGCGCGCGTCCTGCCTGGGGGGGCCACTAGAAAATGGCATGGGACCAGCGGCGAAACCACCGCAATCCGCGCCCTGTCTGAAACATCCGCCGGACATGATTTCATCGTCCACCGCGACATCCTCGGGCCGAGGCGTCCGTGACGGAAGAAGCCAGGCTCTTCGCTCCGACGGGGTCGTCGAACTCTGGCTCTACTTCTCTCATCCTGCTTGAATGGTAAGAACTCGACCTTGAATTGGCCTATCCCGCGCCTGCGTTGGGCACGTATTCCTCGCGCTTGGGGAAATCGGGCGCGACGCTCTCGACCGCGTCGGGAATCGTTTCTTGTCGGCCCAGGGCCGTTGCCAGCGACTCGGGCGTGCCAAATTGCACTGGCTCGTCATCCACGCCTCTTTCGGTGGAGTCGACGAGACCGGTGCCGAGCGCGCCGTGACCCGCCGGCTCAGCCTCAATATAATCGAAATCCAACTCGAGAATTTCGGAAACTGCATCCGCGATCTCAGCATTATAGAAAAATGGGACTTCCGCCCCGACTGCCATGACAAACGTTCCAGGCAATGACAAGGCCCCACGTTCCGCACAAACGATTTCCGCGTCTGGCCTGGCACGTTTATTGCTAGACTCCCCCTGCATGGATCGGGGAATCGTGGATATTCCTGATCCTTGTTCTGACTGCCGAAGGGACTCTCCTCCACACTTGGACTCCGCACTGTGCGGCATATGTTTCCGCGCCCTTTTTTACGGTCCTTCTGACAAGGTCACCCTGCGATTCGTTTAACTTCGCACTACCGCCACAGTTCTTCGGATCTGTCGATTTCGGCTCCTGCCGTGATCATCGTAGCTCTCGGCTGATAGCCCTGTGCGGGCGATGATAATCCTCTGGGGATAAGAAAGTTAGAGGTTCTGGCGGGGATAATCAAATATTCCCGGGGATGAGGATAATGCTGATGATGATGACGATGCTGATGATGAGGATGATGATGATGATCCTCGGCGCTCGGTACAAGGTTGACTCGAGAGATGTCCAGTCCCGTGGCAATACAACTTGCCAGCAGGCGTCCAACACAAGACTGACTCGAGAGATCTCGAGGCTCGTGGCTATACAACTTGCCAGCAGGCGCTCGGCACAAAAGAGGAAGAAAAAGGGTGGGAGAAGGAATGAGAGAAGAGGATGGCCCCATGATTGGTTTCCAACAGTTGTTGGATTCGGGACCTTGGGTTTTTCATGTGTACAAACTGTTTCGTTTCAGTCGTGTTCAATCTCGCATGTAAGGATGTCCATGGTGGGACCCAGCGGGACATAACAAAAACACGGGGGATACAAAAGTTCGGACCCTGGGGGAGAAGGAAGAAAAGGAAGAGGACAAGGAATATGAAGAGGAGGAAGGAGACGAGGAAGAGGAAGAGGAGGAGACGAAGAGCGTTTTTGAATCTGTTGCAAGTCAACATGATATGACAGCAACTTCGATTCGCAATCTAGCAAGGAGAAGGATAATAATCATACTACTAATGAACAAGACGAAAAAGGACAATAATGATGAGGATACCACCACATTGCCCTGCCGCACGTTCGTAACTTGGGCAAGCTGAGCTGGTGTGAATCCCGCAGCCCTTCCACACGCTCGTGATTGCGGACGCTGGTGTGGTGAGACCACCCTGGCCATGCTCAGCGTTTTTGATACTGTTGCTCGTCAACATGAGATGGTCGCAACTTCGATTCGCAACTTCCCCGTGGATTATAAAGTTCGGCCGCCGCGCCTATATACATAATGAAGCCCTGTTGGACGGGGATAAAAAAAGAGGGAAACAAAAGGGGGGTACTTTATTATCGCCCGCACTCGGTCAACTTGTTTTCTGCCACATAACCAACAACCAACATGTCCTGACGAATGGGCGTCCCCCTTGCTCCGATCTCCTAGTCCTGGGGGTCCCCTTTCGTATGGATCTTGCAGATGGATGGGTCCTCCACGATGTCGTCCGACACAACTGCAGTGTTCCGTTGAGTAGATCTGACCAAGACGCCACTTGCGTAACATCCGCACGGTTGTCTTGAGCCAAACGCGTGCAGCGCGGCACGCGTATTAAAAGGCAGAAGAGAGACGGATGGAGCGAAGGTAACGACTTGAGAAATCCCGCGGCACCTAAACCAGATGCGGCTCTCGCCGCAAACGTTCAAACCTCAGATGAGGAGGCTGCTGATTGACAGGTCCCCCATCGCTCGCCTCGAAGGAAAGGGGGCTCCCGACTGAGAGATCCCAACAACAACTGAAGAGGAGGCTCCCGCAAGAAAGGTCCCCCAAAACGCGGTGGAAGAGGCTCACGCCTAAGGTGTCCCCAAAACACTTCCAGTGGATGGGGCCCCCGCCTGAGAGGCCTCCCGAACAATCTCGGTGGAGTAAGCTCCCGCCAGAAGTTCCGAACATATTTCAGACAGAAGAAGGCTCCCGCCAGAGGTCCCCCAAGAAACCCCAAAAGGAGGAGTCTCCCACCTGAAAGGTCCCCCCAGCCCCCCCCCAAAAAAAACAGCATACAAAGCATGCCTCTGACCCTCCCCCACACCAACAAAACCCAAAGGTATAAAGGAATACCGCGGCCGCTGCCCCAGATGCCTTGACAAGGGCTGCCATCTTCTCTAGAACTTCGTTTTTGCGTTTTTCGTTTGGGACAGTTGCAATGTGAAAGGCATGCTACTTGCATTTTCTTTTTGGTGAAACCTCTCAGGCGAGAGCTTCCTCCTGTTTTTTTGTCATTATGGGGACCTCTCCAGCGAGAGCGTTCGCATGTTTGGTCTTTGTTGGGGACCTGAGGCGGGAGCCTCCTTTTCCCCCTCTCAAGCATGAGCCTCTTCGTCTTCGCGTTTTTTTGTGACCTCTCAGACGGGAGCCTCCACTACGGAGTCCTCCTCCCCCTTATCCTTCCTCCCCTCCTCCTTTTCCTCCTCCTCCTCCTCCTCCTCCTGCTCCTCTCCTCCGCCTGATCCTCCTCATCATGTTTCTGATTTCTTTTCCTCATCGTTCATCCCTTCGTGCTCCTCCCTTTCAATCAAGCAAGAGCAGAGTGGAGATGCAACAGGTTGTAAGAAGAGGAACGAGATATAAACAAGTGGACGAGGAGACGAGACATACATCATAATGAAAAGACGACTGAGAAGGAGGATGAGGTGGACACCTTCGGGGGGGAGGGTATATGTATGTGTATCTGTATACATACATACACGCGTACACATGTATGCATACAATATGTGTTTGTATGCATGTATGCGTACATATACACACACATTTCTCTCTCTCTCTCTCTTGCTCCCCCTCCTTCCCAACACAACGAAATGGAACCGATTGTCCAACATCATCAATGAAACACAACGTGGTGTCAACATACCGGCCGCAATTCCTTATCCCATCTTGTTGGGAGATTCAAAGAGCCGGACCGGTCCTTCAGGGTTCACAGGAACGCCACGCTTGGGTGCCACGGCAAGGGAAGACCATACACAAGACCACAAAACACAAACATGCACTTTGAACGGCTCGCGCAGATTTCTTGGGTCGGCGGCTGGCGCTCACCCCCGTCCCTGCACTCCCGCCTCCGGCGCGCCAGGGGCCCGACGCCGACCGCAGAAATCCTCGCGGACCTGCGGAAGTTGATGGTCATGCGAGTCTCGCTCTCTGCAGTGAGGCAGGGGCGCGGGCGGCAAGCCTGGTACTTGGTCCAGCCGTCCCCCGGCGGCGGCGGCGGCCTCGGAGGCTGCCCGGGCTCCTCGGCTGCGCGACCCCTCCCCTCCCCTCCGCTCTGCTCCGCTCCCCGTCTCCCCGCCTCTTGTATTTGGGCGCCCGAGTGATCCGGGGTAATTCGGGTCCGGGGTAACTCGGGTTTGGATTCCCGAAAAACGAACCCGAGTTAGCCCTGACCCGAGTTACCCCTGATGATGTGGGGCACTGTACGCCCGAGTTATCCGGGGCAGCTCGGGCCCGGGGCAACTCGGGTTCGGGTTCCCGAAAAACGAACCCGAGTTGGCCCTGACCAGAGCTACCCCTGATAATGCGGGGCTCAAAATATCCTCAGAACGTGTGTTGCCGCTTGCGCGTGGTTGTCCACCGAGACTCTTCGCTACATCGCACGCGCCGTAAGGAGGGCCGAGAAGGGGCGGCGTGCCATCGGCGGAGCCGAGCAGGTCATTTGTGTTTGTTTGCGTCGGCGGCTGGGCAGAGGGTGACTGCTCCGGCGGATGGGCAACAGGGGGCCCCAGGACACACAAATAGTATTTTTCGTTCCCCTAGTATTGGACGTCTGGGCAGTTCACAGCGAGATGGATGCCACGGTGTGATTGGCCCAGGATGCGTTGGAGAACCCCCCCCCCCGAGTGTCCAGCGGCCATTCGTCGCTGGAGCCTGGGCGGAGCCGCGGGAATCCTGGGAAACTCTGGACAGCCTGCCTGGACCGCACCACTGTCATGGCTCCCTCTTCTAAAGGGGCCCCAGGACACACAAATAAATACACACAAATAAACATAGATTCCCTACATTTTCCCATCTTTTCTGGGTTTCTGTCTTCCCCCCCACTTCCCCTAGTTTCCCATATTTTCGGGGGAATCGAGGATTCATTCTGTCTGTGTGCTTCTTCCTCTCCTGAAGCAAGGGGCACGCTGTATGCAAATTAAAACCGCCATGCGCGGAGGTGGAGGAGGAGCCCCAGCGCGATAGGAGGAGAGGAGGTCGGGCCTACTCAGAGCACCGACTGCGGCAGGGGGGGCGCCGAAGGGGGGAACCAGCGCCGGCACTGAGCTGCACTGAGCTGAAGCTGGGGGGTAACGCAGCCCGACGAACAGGGCGGCAGGTGGGGGGGCAACACGAGCGAAGCAGAGACTCGACCCAGCGAGCCGATAGGCGCGGTCCAGGGGAAGAGCCAAAGCGCTGAGACCTGGGGGTCTCGAGGCGCGGCAAACCGCGGACCAGGGCGCCGAGACCAGGAGGGCCTACGAGGCGCGGCGAAAGGCGAGTGGCGGTGGGCGGGCAAGCACAAAGGGTGCCACGACAAACGACGCCGTAGCCAAGCGAACGACGGAGAATGGCGACCCAGAACCGGAACCACACCGGGGTGCGGCACGGAGCTGGGGACGCCAGGGAAGGCGGGCGGAGCGGTGGAGAGGACCACGCCAATATGAGGGGCGACGTGGCCCAGGAGACCACCAGAACGGGACGTGCGCCGAGACCAGAAGGCTTACTAGACGCAAGCCGCGATGGCCGGGCAAGGCGCCGCAGAAGAGCGGCAACGTCCAGCGCGCCGGATGGATGTGAGGCCTGGGAACCAGGCAAAAGAAGGAGGCTCCGAATAGGTGCAAGGACACTAACGGAACACTCCCTGCGGCCATGGGCGTAACCGTCGCAGAAACGCCACGGTGACTCAGCAGGATTCCGGCGCGGTGCGCAACAATCAATGTAAATTCTTCGGTATATACAATGGCAAGACCCTCGGCGCGCAGGTCGCTCAGCATGAGAACGTCAATCGTCTGCTGCTGGGCGAGGCTGATGAACGAGTGCAGATTGCCCCGTGCATGTAGCCGGTACCAGCAGAAGCCTTGGGTGATAAGGGTAGCGAAGTGCAGCGACCCGTCGAAAGTATCTGTATGACTGGGACGCCAATTGTGACGGATGCGAGCCCGAAGCCGCCCGATGTCTTGGAATATTGGTTGCAGACAGTGTGCGGCCCATGGGAGGCCAGAGCACGCTTCTTGGCTTCAACGGGGTACTTGGTATGCCGTGAAATTGCCGAAGATGAGGTGTCCCCCCGGAACGTATCAACCACCGATCAGGCTGCATTGATGATGAATTTGGTGCCATAGCCGCAAGAAGCACGACTGTAGTTGACGAAGATGACGGCTTATTTAATTGCGTTCTGATCGACGTTGCTCTGCGATTCTCCACCCGGACTTAGACCAGGCACCGTGGGCAGACGGAATAACATCCCAATTGTCGCCATCATGGTATTGGTATTGGCATTGGTATTGGTGTTGGCGGGCGTGTGGGCCTCGAGAGCCTGCCCGCGCCCTCCCCCCGAAGCCTGGGCCGGAATCCTCACCCCCGCGCCCCGAGCGCGAGGGGGGGAGCGCGCCAAGACGGGGCGGTGTCTTGGACCCCGTGCCCGAGGGGGAGGAGGAGGAGGGGAAGGAGGAGGAGGAGGAGGCGGGGGAGGAGGAGGAGGTGGACGAGGAGGAGGAAGAGGGGCACGGGGGAGCCCAAAACACCCCCCCCACCACAGCGGACCCCCCCCAGGCCACGCGACTCAACGGGGTAGCAGGGAGAACGAGAGAGAGAGAGAGAGAGAGAGAGAAAGAAAAAAAAAAAGGCCGACAGAGAGACGAACTGGTTCAGCGCATCATCGGTATGTGAAGCCTTGTAACGCCCTTCCTGGAAGAACACGCCGGTGATTAGGGCACCAGCGAAAGGCCGAATATTGGCACGCTTAAGACAGACGCACACGCACAGAGACTGGTAAGCCCAACGCGCCGCGTGCACACAAACACCACACGTGTTCCGCCCGCAACACACTCACACGAACACACTTCCACCACGCACACTCACCTTCACATCAAACCAGCAACACCACTCGGCACAATCACAATTGCAGCATCGGCGCCGCACGGACCCTGGCGCGGCACGCGCACAGCCCCCGCAAACACGGCACCACGCCAACCTGAGGCAACGGGCGCAAGACCCCGCGTCGTCAGGGTGCAAGACCCCCGCCCGAGAGGAACGGCGCAAGACCGAACCCCGGCGCAAAGGGCGGCCTTTCGGCGACGACGGTCCTCAGTGGCGCTGCTGTTGTCCCGGGCCACACACACGCAATACCGACTCAAAACACTCAGTGTGCACACAAAAACACGGCCACGTGAGGCACGGGTTCAAGACCCCTCGTCGTCAGGGTTCAAGGCCCCCGCCCGTGGGGAACGGTTCAAGACCGACCCCGGCGCCAAGGGCGGCCTTTCGGCGACGACGGTCCTCGGTGGTGTTTTTGCTGCGTCTCCCTCCTCAACAACACCACTCGGCACAAACGCGAAACCGCATCGGCACACCACGGAGCCTGTCGCGACACACGCACGGCACCCCAGCAGGCACAGCACCACGGCCACGTGAGGCACGGGTTCAAGACCCCTCGTCGTCAGGGTTCAAGGCCCCCGCCCGTGGGGAACGGTTCAAGACCGACCCTGGCGACAAGGGCGGCCTTTCGGCGACGACGGTCCTCAGTGGTGTTTTTCTTGTGTCTCCACCCCGGCCCCCCCAACCCGATTCCCACCGCCTTCCCCAGCAGCCAGGTCGAATAGGGGTAAGAGGCAAGAGAGCGCGAAGCAAGGAAAGGCACCTTAGGATCGGGTTCGCACACCCGCCCGCGACCCCAGATGCCGCCCCTGCTCCCGTGTGATCAGGCGGGAGCAGGGCTTACGCTGCGCAAGCGCACAAGGGAAGATCCGAAGACCCAACCGCCCCTGCACGCCGGGAGCAGCGAGTCGCGCCCACCCGCCCCCAGCGGAACATGAGCCCAGACGACAGCGTGGGACAACGAGTGTATATGACAAACCACACGCCCAGCCCGCAACCACGACGTCTCAGAACGTAGGTGCAACGGGGGCAGCGTGAGGGGCCAGGGCCGGGGGGACCCCTGACACCCCCAGCGCCATTGGGTTGGCCGTCCCAGGCGGGAGGCGCACTGCGAGGACGCGAGCCCCAGACCGCCCCGGCCACCTGAGCCGTTGCCCTCGGCCCGGCCAGGAGGCTTGGGCGCTGACGGGCCGAACTACGACGCGGAGACCGGAGCACCAGCTCCCGTCCGACTCGGCGGTCTATGGACGTGCTGGCATGGCTGGCTAGGCCATGCCCGGCACCCCGGCCCCGGGAGCAGGGCGTAGGCCGGTGAGAACTACGGGCGCGCCCCCCGACGTCATACCCAATGTTTGGACGTGGCGCTTCACATCGCAGACCCGAGACCCTGCATGCACCAAGCTAGCATGCGTGCCACGCCGCGCAAACACACGAGCACACAAATACGTGCCAGACGCGCGCAACACACGAGCGCGCGCACGCGTGCGCAAAGACCCACTCCACGTATGTTGCCAATATTCGTTCTCTACCAGGACTTAGACCAGGCACCGTGGGCAGATGGAAAAACATCCCAATTGTCGCCATCATGACCAGTGGACTGTTGGCGATTTCAGCCGCCAACTTCTTCCGCCCGTCCTCGGTCGGCGTCGCTGGGCGCTGGCACGTGGAAGCCGAAGTCATCCGCCGCGGCGGCGGCCGCGGGGACCGCGGCGCAAGCGCCAGCCGCAGCGGCCTCCGCGGCAGCAGCCGCGCCGGCAGCCGCCGCAGCGGCCGCGTCCGCAGCCGCCGCGGAGGAGGGCAGCAGCAGCAGCAGCCACCGCGCCAGCGGCGCTGGCAGCCGAGCCGGCGGCCGCCGCGGCCGCGGCGTCGGCCGCCGCGCGAGCGGCCGCAACGGCGGGCACGGCGGCGGCGGCGGCGAGCGGCCGCGGCGGGCGCGGCCGCGCGAGGCGCGGCGGCGCGCCCGCGGCAGCGGCGACGCCCGCGGCGCCGCCAGCGCCAGGGCCCCCAGCCGACGCCGGCGGGAGGCCGGGCGGCGGGTCAGCGCCGGCGGCGCGGGCGGCGGCCGCCAGCCGCTGCCGACGGCGGCGAACCGCACGCGTCGGCACCGCAGCAGCAGCAGCAGGGCCGCGGCCAGGGGGGGCCAACACGGCGCCGTCGCGGGCAGACATGCGAGGGCTGTGGCGGCCGCCGCGGCGCGCGGCCCGACCGTGCCGCGCCGCCCAGGCCGCGCCGGCCAGGCCGCGCCGGCCAACCTCCTGCCCTGACCCCGGGGGGGAGGCCTCCCCTCGGGAGACGCCTTGAGCAAGCGGTGGCTACGGACACACGCACACACACACACGCACACACACACACACACGCACACACACACGCAAACGCACACCCGCACACCCTCACACCCGCACACCCACACCCCACACACCACAAACACAAACACAAACACACACACACACACACACACACGCACACGCACACGCACACACACACGCACACACACGCACACGCACACGCACACGCACACACACACGCACACGCACACGCACACGCACACGCACACACGCACACACGCACACGCACGCGCACACGCACACGCCCACACACAACCACTCACATAAACACACACACACATGCACACAACACACACACACAACACACGCACAACACACAACACACAAGCACACACAAACGCACACACAAACACACATACAAACACAGACAAACAAGCGCACACAAACACACGCAACACACAACGCACACAACACACAACACACAGCATATAGCACAGACAACACACACGCACGCGCACACGCACATGCACACGCACAGGCACACGTACACGCACATGCACTCGCACACGCACACGCACGCGCTCACCCACCCACCCACCCACACACACACAAACACACAAGCACACACACATAGAAACGCACACACACAAACACACACGCAAACACACACATACACACAAAGGCACACAAACAGACACGAACACACGCATTAACACACACATACACATATCACGCACAACAAACAACACACACACACAACACGCACAACACACGCACAACACACAACACACAACACACAATACTTAAAACACACACACACGCAGCACACAACACATTCAACACACACAACACATACAAACAACACACACAAGACACACAACACACAACCATACATACACACGCAAACGCGCATTGGGCTAATACACGTCCTGAAAATCATCGACCCACCGCTTTCCTCCGCCGGGCACCCTGCCCCAGTGCTTCAGACCGCACTCTGCGGCAGAATTCAAAGAGCAGGAGGCGGCCTGAGATTCGCGGAATCACTCGTGTGCAGATTGAAAATTACCCCAGTGCGACCCTACCCAGAAGTTGGAGCCCCTAGGAAAGCAGCATTAGTTGCTATGCTATGCTATGCTATGCTATGCTATGCCATGCTATGCTATGCTAAGCTGTGCTAATATGCTATGCTATGCTATGCTGAGCTATGCTATGATGCTATGCTGCGCTGTGCTATGCTGTGCTGTGCTGTGCTGCGCTATGCTATGCTATGCTATGCTATGCTGCGCTATGCTATGCTATGCTGGGCTATGCTATTATGGGCTGTGCTGCGCTATGCTATGCTATGCTATGCTACGATATGCTATGCTATGCTGTGCTCTGCTAAGCTATGCTATGTCATTATGCTCTGTGCCATGATAAGCTATGCTATGCTATGCTATGATGTGCTAAGCTGCGCTATGCTCTGCTCTGCTATGCGATGCTATGCTATGCTGCGCTGTGCTATGCTGTGCTGTGCTGCGCCATGCTATGCTATGCTATGCTATGCTGCGCTATGCTATACTATACTATGCAGGGCTATGCTATGATATGCTGTGCTGCGCTATGCTATGCTACGCTATGCTGTGCTCTGCTATGCTAAAGCTCAGCGAAGCTAAGATGAGGGTAAGCTAAGCTAAGATACACCTGAGCTAAGATGAAGCTAAACTAAGCTAAGATGAAACAAGCTAAGCTAAGATGAGATGAACAACGCTAAGCTAAGGGGACGTAACTGGGGGAACCGCGGGGCGGATACTGGGGGAACCGCCAGGGGCGCTTTCCACTGCCCAGCCCCTTGAAGCCCAGAGAATGAGAACCCTTCTAGGCAGAGTCTAGGTAGGCAACTTTCTTGTCGCGCAGGCACGCACTGATGTCAAGACCGCACGACCGCGATTCACTCCCTTCCCCTCCCTCCCTCGATCATCGAATCTCCATCCTCAGAGGGCAGAGTAACCATCCTCAAACCAAGCACCGCGTGCAAACGCATCCGAAGAAATGACCGAACAGTGCAGGACAGTTCAGCAACCGCCTTCGTCATCTGCGGGGTGTTGCGACATCTGCTGCAAACGGCTGGCTTCGGCCCCGCCGCCAGGCGATCTGTCGAGGGTGGGTGTGGGGCAGGGCTGGTTCTGGGCCATGATTTGTTTGTGGGGGGGCAGCAAAACATTCGCCCTTGAACGTGAAGGCTGTCGGGTGGCGTTCCCGACGCGTGTGCGTCTCCAGGCGCTACGTCTCCAGGCGCTACGTATAGAAACCAGCTGCGAGAGCTGATTCGCTAACCCGAGTTTTCGGGAGCGTCCAAGATGGAGGTTCGCAAGACATGGGCCGAGGCATGTGTGCGGCTCACGGGGGGGGGGGGGCAGGGGACGCATCAAAACAGGAAAGGCGCTTTGAAATCTGGGGAGATATCATGGCCCTTGCCATGACACCCCGCCCCCCAGCAGAGCCCAAAATCGAATCGATGTGCCGAATCGGCGGGCGCACGTCGGCAGGCCAGTAGCCCTCCGTTGCAGAACCGGAGCCCACGCCGGAATCCGAAGACGGACCGGATCGGAGGAATCGAAACGAGCCCTGCCCTTGAGCTATCACCCCAGAGATCCGACGTCGTGATTTTCTCAATGCGCGGTCCCCCGAAGTCTCGACCCATTCCCCAGGACCGGTTTTTCATCCTGAGTCGTTCTTTGACGGTCCCGGGGCCCGGCGAGGGCCCCTGGCCGCAAGTCGGAAAAAACCTCCGTCTTGACTTTTTCGATACCTTGGAGGTCTGGGACCCCCCCTCTTTAGGGGGCAAACGAACCTACCTCGCTTTGACCACCCTCGCTTCCAAGAGCTACCAAGCGAACTACGGCACGCACTGGTCAGGCCACTCGACGGGGAGGCGCGTGGTATGACTTGGCTTTGCCTGGAAGCGAAAGCGGGGTAGGATATTCACGCTCTGACTCTTCGCCCCCCCCCGAGCTCTGCTGACCTCCCCCGCTGCCGCCCGATCACGGTCGTCCTGCTGGCGGGGTGGGCGCGGCTCCTCCGCCGGCGCGCTCTGCTTCGCCGCCTTCGGCGGCCCGTCGGCGGCCGCCTCCAACGCGGCAGCCTTCTCGGCGCGCGCGCGCTCCGCCGCCCTCGCACGGGGCGGCTCTGGAGCGTGCTCAGCGGGCCCTGGAAACGACAGGGTCGTTTTTTTACCGGTTCCGTTTTGCCGTTTTTGTTCCCGGTTTCGACGCCGTTGTTTTACCGGTTCCGCCGCCGTTTTGTGACCGGTTCCGGCTCCGGCTCCAATCCTGGAACCGTTTTTTTGCCGTTTCCGGTCGCCGTTTTTTGCCGTTCCCATTTTCAAGGGACATGTTTTTGGAAACGGTGAAAAAAACGGCCCTGCCGCTTCCGGGGCCCACAAAGGGCAAGAGTGATGTCACGATAAGATTGGCTCGGGAGGCGTTCCGGGATTTCCAATCCTGGAACAGTTTTTTTGCCGTTTCCGGTCGCCGTTTTTTTGCCGTCTCCATTTTCAGTGGGCACCTTTTCGGAAACGGTGACAAAAACGGCCCTGCCGTTTCCGGGGCCCAGCGGGAGGCCCGGATGGGCCTCGTCGCTTCTCCCGTGCGGCCGGGGCGGCCTTCCGAGGCCCCAGGAGCGAAGGAACGACACTCGCGGGGTCCTGCCCAGAGGTGCCCCTCGAGTGGGAGGAACCTCCTGGGAAGGCCAACCTCGGGACTGGAGAACTCTGAGCCGGATCGCTTCGTACCCACTCTGAACATCCTACTAGCCAGCGCGTTCCGCAAAGCGGCCAGCGTCCTGCGCCCCCATTTACGCCACACAGCCAGGTGGGGGCAGGCTCCAAAGGCACAGGGCGTCACCCGCCACCCCCACTCCGACCACGCCTCCCCCGACCCTTCCCTCTGCCTTTGGAGCCCGCTTTTGGCCTAGGGACAGCCATTAAAAGGGGTCTCAAGGAGGGGGCCTGGTAAGGGCGCTGCAGATCGTGTGTGAACCCAGGCGCCGAAAAGGGGCGATTAGAACCTCCTCAGTTAGAGCTCCTCTCCACGAATCATCTGAAACGAGCGCTCCTGAAACCATTCCCCTCACGTCCGAGATCTTATATCGGAGGTGAGGGGGTGAGATCGAAGTGGACCGGGTGCCCCCCCTACCGGGAAATCGATTTCGGTTTCGTGTTCGTGCGTGCCGTGCGGGCGGGCGAGGCGAAGCTGCGTGGGCGGGCGAGAAAAAGTCTCCTGTGGCTGAGGCGCGGCCGGACCAAATGTCTCCCTTCCGGGCGGCCGGTGGCCCGCGGTGTCCCGCCGGTGTCCCGCGAAAGTCCCGTGTGGCTGAGGCGCGGCCGGACCAAATGATTCCCTTCCGGGCGGCCGGTGGCCCGCGGTGTCCCGCCGGTGTCCCGCGGTGTCCCGCGGTGTCCCGCGGTGTCCCGCGGTGTCCCGCCGGTGTCCCGCGGTGTCCCGCGAGGATGATGATGATGATGATGATGATGATGATGATGATGATGATGATGATGATGATGATGATGATGATGGTGTCCCGATGAAGATGATGATGTTGATGATGGTGTCGATGATGATGATAGTGTCCCGATGATGAGGATGATGATGCTCATGATGATTATGTTGATGATGATGACAATGATGGTGCCCCGATGATGATGATGATGATGATGATGATGATGATGATGATGATGATGATTCCGATGATGTTGGTGATGAGGATGTTGATGGAAATGGTGTCCAGGCGGTAATGATGTTGATGATGATGATGTTGACGATGATTATGGTGTCCCGATGATGATGCTGATGATGATGTTGGTGATGCTGATGGTGTCCCGATGATGATAACAATGATAATGACGATGTTGATGATGATGTTGCTCATGATGAATGATGATGTTGTTGATGATGATGATGATGTCGATGATGATGATGATGCGATGATCATGATGATGGTGTCCCGAGGATGATGACGATGTTGATGATAATGTTGATGATGGGAACGATGGTGATCATGATGGTGTCCCGATTATGATGATGATTCTGATGATGCTGCTGATGATGACGACGACTGTCCCGATGATGATGATGATGATGATGTTGATGATGATATGATGATGGTGATGATGATGTTGATGTTGTCCCGATGATGATGCTGACGTTGATGATGATGTTTATGATGATGATGCTGACGGTGCTCTCATGATGATGACGATGTTGGTGATGCTGTTGATGTTGATGTTGATGATGTTGATGATGTTGATGATGATGATGATGACGTTGATTGTGAGAGCGATTGTGATATCGATAGTGAGATCGGTATTGAGACCGAATGTGAGATCGATTGTGTGATCGATTGTGAGATCGATTGTGAGATCAATTGTGAGATCGATCGAATGAGATAGATCGAGTGAGATCGATTGTGAGATCGATCGAGTGAGATCGACCGAGCGAGACCGATAGTGATGTCGATACTGAGATCGATAGTGAGACCGATCGAGTGAGACGTTGGTTCCCCCCCCCGAACCTCCTTATCACCCGAAGGGTGGTCGTATAGGTATGGAATTCGCGCATTGGCCCTGCCTGGGCACTGGAACGCTGGGCCTCATCTCCTGCTGCTTCTCGAGGTTCTCCCCGAGCATCATCTCCAGTGGCCCCCCATCGGGGCCGCCCCGCTCACGAACTGACCCTCGTCGACGAAGAGCAGCCGCTCGAGATGGGGCGCTGCCGCCCGGACGATGGGCTGGTCGCGGTGGAAGCACCTGCCGATGAATGCCCTCGCCATCTTCTCTTCTGAACGGGCCCCAGGACACACAAATCAATACACACACATAAAAGGATTCCCCATATTTTCCCATGTTTTTGGGGTTTCTGTCTTCTCCCCCACTTCCCATATTTCCGCATATTTTCTGGGGAGTCGACAATTAATTGTGTCTGTGTGTTTTCCTCCTGATCTTCTCCCTGCGCCTTGCGCAGCTCGCAGCGGGGTTAGGAGCTGCTGCGGCCCAGGGTGCGCAGGTCGGGCTTCAGGATGCGATGCCGGTAGAGGGCAGGTCACCTCGTCCTCAGCACCACGTGGTCCTTCTTGCTCTGCCCCGCGAGAATCTGGCCAACGCCGCGCAGAATCGCGGCCGTCGCGACGCGCAGGTGCGGGGGGCCCCGTGTCAGGAAATCGACGTTGTCTCCCTGCCACGCCTCCTTCTTCAGCTCGAGAGACTGCTTGTTGCAGGCGCCGCCGCCTGCGTTGCATGCCAGAAGGGGCCCCGCCTCGGAGTCGATGTCGCAATCGAGGTGCCGCGCGCTCTTTGCGTCGGCCATGTCCCGAGCCAGGCTGATGGCGAGGCGCCTGTGGGCCTCGTCCTGCTTGTTGTTACCATTCTTGTCGGCGCCGCCCTTGCCGGCCCCGCGGCGGCGTCGTCCTCGCCTTCCCCCTGGTTCCGCTTCGGCAGCCGCTGGGGCCAATGGGGCGTCTCCACGTCTCTGCCCATCGACGCATCGGGCGCGCACCCGCCCGGCGTCTTCGACACGTTGGCGCGGCCGAACAGGCGGGCGGAAACGTGGATGACCACGCAAATCGTCCAGACTCATGCCCTCGAATTCGCGCGCCGAGCAGGCGCGTGAAAACGCGGGCTTGACCTCTCTCAACGACGACGGGCCCGGCGTTCTGCAGTGACCTCGGAAGATCGATCATTCCATGCGTTTAGCGGGGCTAGCGCGACAAGTGAGAACCTGGCGACAGTGAGCGCGCGCGTTCGTTGGGGTGAGTACTCGGCTGAAGCTCCTAATATCGTGGACTCGTCTGAGATTACTCATCGGGCCCAGTCGGAGGCGCGTCGGTCTCGATCTCGGCCGACTGCTGCTGCGACGACTCGGCTGCGGCCGCCTCCGTCGGCGGCGGCGTGGCCGCGGTGATGTGCCTGGCTCAGCGCGCGGCAACGTCTACGGCGGCGAAGACGGATGAGCTTGCAGCGCGCGGCAGCAACCGGAAGCCCCCCGCAACCTCCGCAACAAATTTCAGATCAAGCGCCTCCGAGACGCTCCGAATGTCATCCTGCCGTTGCAAGACGCAGAGGCATGCAGGCGGAAAAAGCGATCCAATTGCTGCCGACTGACTCCCAAACGATACAGCACCGCACAGAACACTGAGAACATGCATATGATGGGTGGGTCGCGTGGCCCAGCTCTGAACGAGTTGGAGTCTAAGCTCTCGAGCTGGGGGTTCGAAGGCTTCCAGTGGGCCAGGAGGGACTTGTTCGACATCTGGTGCGGGCGCGACCCCTCCCAGTCCGCGGCCTTGCCAGCCGTCGGGGTCCTGCAGAGACGCGCGAGAGCGGCCTCCAGCTCGTTGTATTCTGTAGTTTCCAAAAAGAACGTTTCCAGTCCACACGAGACTGCACTTTGCCCGCGCCCCTGTCATCCGAGCCTCGTCAACTTCTTGGGAATGCCCTGTTGCCGGACAGGGCCCAAGGAACGTGAGGGGGCCCAGGCGGCCGATGCCCTGCGTTCGATGTCATGATGAGTGCTATCTCGGCGACCGGATGGGGCCCCAGATAACGAGCCTGCTCGCGCATCTTCCCTCCAGAGACACCTCCCCCCTCTTCAAAGACTGTTTCAAGCAAGCGTCATAGACACTGAAGGGGCAAGGTCAACTCAAGGTTTGTCATATTCTGCCCGAAGCTCACTGGGGCCGGCCGGTTGTTCTGTAAGCGGTCGTGCCCCCTCAGCATGCTTCAGATGACTAGGATCAACCTCGGGGCTCTCCCACTCGGCCGTGAGCTCTGCACGACAGGCGTCGGTCTGTTCCACGTCGCGTCGCCAATCCGCTATCGGCTCTCCAAACGTGGCAAGGAAAGCCTGCGCGACGAACTGATCGCCCGTGAGCCCTCCCTGCTGAGTTTCATGAGCGCCCGACCTCCCTCCCCATCAGGCTGAGAGCTACGAATTGCCCATGTGTTCCACTGCCTGCGTGGCTCGTCTCGGCTCACCCCTGGCCCTGGAGGGCACAGCCTCGGTTCGAGCGAGATTGTCAGACGTGCGATCGCAGCATTATGACGCGGCTCATCAGTCTTTGACAAGCTGCTGCTCCATCGCCGCGGAGGAGGGAGACATGTGTGTGCTCAACAGATCCCACGTCGGCCTTGAGAAGAAACGCGTAATGAGGAGGAGGAGGATGAGTAGAGGCATCTCCACTTGGTCTAGGGTCGGCCGGACGAAGTACCAGGAAAGAAACGAGGGGCAGGAGGATCATGTATAAGGAGACGAGAAAGATGAAGCAAGGTAATGACAACGTAAGAAGACCGAGCATGCTGGTATGCTGTGGCAAAAACGGGTCTCACGGTATATGTCGCTGGGTACCTGGAAGTGGAGGTGAGACCCCTATCCCTCTGGCGCAGCTTACCAAGCAAGATCTCATTGCTCGCATGTGCAACTATCGGTGTTATCCTGTCACGCAGAGCCCTTTTTCCACGGGAGCTCCTCGCCACCGATGCCAACTCCTCCCCTCTCACTTCGCCTCCTTTGCGAACGGGAAGGTGAACCTTACGGAGAATTGGTGAGAATGCGTCGGTAGAACATGCCGCTCTGACGGGACTCGACGAGGCCTTGACCGCACGACGAGCTTCCGACTCTGCTCGGAGACTGGACACACGCACTTCGCTGGGCTCTCAGGCGGAATGTGGCGGCCACGCGCTGGACACACGAGCGGAGGGCCGCCAAACCAACCCTACCGCTGAGGGCCGAGCGCTGGAACTACGTGTGGCCGCGCATGCGTCCGGCTGTCGCCCAGGCCAGCCGCGTCGTGTGCCTCCGGCCTCCTGGCGCCATTCCGCCTCATGCCTCTCCTAGTCCTCGGGCGGTGGGGGAAGGGGCGACGACCCCGGCAAAGCTGGGAGGAGCGGGTAGGTGGCGGAATAGAGGCTGGGGGAATTCTGGAGTCCCTCGTCGTTTCATAAGGTTTTTATCGAGTGAAACGCTCTTTCACCCTTAACGGTTGATGTTTCTTTTGTATTTTTTTTTTCGCCGTGATCCCCTCATACGAACATTTTCTCGTTACGTCGTTCTCTAGTGTCCTCTCTCTATCTTTGTCTCTCTCTCTCTCTCTCTTTGTCTATATCCTGCACCAGGCCAATGCATGCCGATGCGATACAAATCCATTCCCAACCAACACCAATGCCAATGCAATGCCAATGGGGGGATCCTTTCGTTCGGTAGATTTCAACAGGAATACTTCGTGGATGATGTCATTACGAATCCTTCTTCGGAGGATTTCAATAGCAATGCTTATGTGTGGGGTTTCGATAGGGATCCTCATGTGGAGGGTATCACTAAGAATCCTTGGAATCGTTCTTGTGGAGGGTTTCAGTAGGAGTCCGTCTGCGGAGGGAGCCATTAGGACTCGCCTGCGCAATGCCAACGCACTGCTAACGCACTGCCATCGCAATGCCAAACCAATGCCAAGGCGACCTCAATTCAATGCCAATGCAATGCCAATGGGGGGGATTGTTTGTGGTAGATTCCAAAAGGAGTCCTACCTGTGGAGGGTTTCGATTGGAATCCTTCCGTGGGGGGGTTCAGTATGAATCTTTTATGTGGGGGGCTTTCAAAAGGATCCCTTCTTGTGGAATGTAAGGAATCCTGCTGTGGTGGGAGCCATTCGAACTCGCCAGCGCAATGCCGAAGCAGTGCCAACGCAATGCCAAAACAATGCCAATGCAATGCCAATGGGGGGAACTGTTTGTGGTAGATTTCAATAGAAATCCTTCTAAGAGCCCTTATTCGGGGGATTTCGATAGGAAACCTTCAATGGAGGGCTTCGCGTGGAACCCTTCGGTTGAAGATTTCAATGTGAATCCTTCTTGTGGGGGGATTCAATAGGCATCCTTTTTGTGGGGGTGTTCACTAGGAATCCTTCTGTGAAGTGTTTGAGTAGGACTCGCCAGCGCAATGTCAACGCAATGCCAACGCACTGCTAACGCACTGCTAACGCACTGCCATCGCAATGGCAACGCAATGCCAATGCGATGCCAAACCGTTGCCAAACCAATGCCAATGCAATACCGATGGCGGGATTCCTGTCTTCCAACAGCTTTCACTAGGAATCCTTATGTGAATGATTTGGTTACGAATCCTTCTTCGGAGGATTTCGATAGGAATCCCTCCTGTGGGGGGGTTCGATTGGAATCTTTCTGTGGGGGGGTTCACTTTGAATCCTTCATGTGGGGGCTTTCAAAAGGATCCCTTCTTGTGCAAGGTTTTCATATGAATCCTTTTGTGGGGGGCCACCAGAACTCGCCAGCGCAATGCCGACGCAATACCAACGCAATGTTAAACCAATGCCAACGCGATCCCAATTCAATGCCAATGCAATGCCAATGGGGGAAATCGTTTGTGGTCGGGTTCAAGAAGAATCTTTCCTGGAGGGCTTCGAATTGAATCCTTCCGTGAGGGAGCTCCATGTGAACCCTTCTTGTGGGATGCTTCAATTGGAATCCTCCCGTGGGGGGTTCAACAGGACTCATTCTGCGAAGGGAGGTGTTGGAACTCGCCAGCGCAATGCCGGCGCAATGCCAACGCAGTGCCATCGCAAAGCCACACCAATGCCAAAGCGATCCCAACCCAATGCCAATGCACTGTCAATGGTGAAAATCCTTGGTGGCAGATTTCAATAGGAATCCTTCTGTGGAGTGTTTCGCATGGAATCCTTCTGTGGAGGGTGTCAACATGGACCGTTTTTTTCTGGAGGGTTTCAATAGGAGTCCTTCTTGTAGAAGGTTTCGATCGGAGTCCTTCTGTGGAGGGTCCCATTAGGACTCGCCAGGGAATTGTTTGCCAAATGCAAGCACGCTAGCAACGCACTGCCGAGCGCAATGCCAACGCAATGCCAATGCGATGCCAAACCATTGCCAAACCAATGCCAATGCAATGCCAACGGGGGGTTCTTTCTTTCGAAGCATCTCAATCTCAATCCTTCTGCGGGTGATTTTAATAGGAATCCATATGTGAGGATCCAGTAGGAATCATTCAGTGGTGGGTTTCGATAGGGATCCTTCTGTAGAGGATTTCACTATGAATCCTTCTTGTGGGGGCGTTCAATAGGAATCCTTCTAGGGGGGGGGGGGCAGATGAGGCCGCGTCGCATTCCTTGTTTTCGCCGCCGACCCCACCCAGATTTTATTTATATTTTTTATTGGGGGGGGGGAGAGAAAAAAAAGAGGAGGAGGAGGAGGAGGAGGAGGAGGAGGGGGAGGCGGAAGGAGAGGAGGACGCCACAGAGTACGCACACCACTGAAAGACGCACGCGCGAACTCAGTGTGAAAGCCTCGCGCGCGCGCCCTGAACCCCGAGGGGCTCCACAATCCCCCGTTCTCGCGGAGTAGGGGGATGGGAGAGGGCGAGATGGCGACGCGGACATGAATAGGCTTACTGAGGGGAGGGGGGCGAGGGAAGGGGGTGAGGGAGGAGAGGGGACTGATCGTTGGATCGACTCGCGCAAACGACGTGTAACATGGATTTCATCACCTGGTAAGCTAACAAAGGACTGCAAATCTCACTCGTCGATTTCTGCGAGACCTCATCACGTGGAGTCGGCAATACGAATCTGCACAGAGTTGAAAACATCCCCGAACCACGATGGGAAGAGGACGTCGACCTCCGAGAGCCTCTATCCAGCAACTCCCCTCGCCTCCCTGACGGTCGGAGCTGCCTCTGCCTCGGTGGCCTCCGTTACCACCATGTCCCCGGACACCTTCAATGAGCTCTGGCAAACCTCGGAGGAAGGCAGCACAAACCATGGACAAACGTGGGGGTGGGGGCAAGGAGTAGTTCCCAACAATCCTGTGGTGTTGGGTCCTCGTTTTGAAAAGACAGCGCCCCGCGTTCCTCCTCCTCTCCTCCTCCTCCCTCTCCTCCCCCCTCCTATCCTGCCTCTGCCCTCCGCGTGCTGTGTTTCGGTGCACCCCAAGGGCTCCAACGGCTGCGCTCGCATGGTGCAACCGCGCCCAGTTCCGGCACACCCCTCACACGTTTCGTGGCCCCAGGAAAGGGGCTCCGCCGAGGGCCCCAGTGGCTGCGCTCGCATAGCACCACCGCGCCCGATTCGGCACACCCCTCACACGTTTCGTGGCCCCGTAGGGAACTCCACCGAAGGTCCCAACGGCTGCGCTCGCATGGCACCACCGCGTCCTTTTCGGCACACCCCTCACACGTTTCGTGGCTTTATGAAGAGCTCCACCGAGGGCTTCATTGGCGTCGCTCGCATGGCACTGCTCCCGTTTCGGCACACCCATCACACTCGTCGTGGCCCCATGGGGAGCTCCACCCAAGGCCACAACTGCTGCGCTCTCATGGCACAACCGCACCCGTTTCGGCACATCCCTCACACGATTCGTGGCCCCATAAGGAACTCCACCGAAGGTCCCAATATCTGCGCTCGCATGGTGCAACCGCGCCCAGTTTCGGCACACCCCTCAGACGTTTCGCGGCCCCATAAAAGAAAGGGGGCCCCACCGAAAGTCCCAGTGGCTGCGCTCGCATGGCACCACCGCACCCGATACCCCTGGCCCCATCAGGAGCTCAACCGATGGCCACTGTGGCTGCGCCCTCATGACACCACCGCGCCCGATTCGGCACACCCCTCACACGTTTCGTGGCCCCGTGGGGAGCCTCACCGGAGGTCCAAGTGGCTGCGCTCGCATGAAACCACCGCGCCTGGTTCAGCACACCCCTCACACGTTTCGTGGCCCCAAAGGAAACTTCACCGAAAAACCCTTCAACGGCTGCGCTCGCATGGCGCCACCGCGCCGATTTGGGCACACCCCTCACACGCTCCGTGGCCCCACAGGGGGCTCTACAAAAGGGCCTCAAAGAGCGCGCTTGCATGGCACCACCGCGCCCATTTCGGCGCACCACTCACACGTGTCGCGGCCCCGCAGGAGCTCCTTCGAAGGCCCCAAGGCAACGCCCGCATGGCATCACTGCGCCCGTTTCGGCACACCCCTCACACGCTTCGTGGCCGCGCAAAGGGGGCTCAGTCGAAAACCCCAGGGCACCGCCCGCATGGCACCACCGCGCCCAGTTCAGCACGCCCTCAGACGTTTCGCGGCCCCAAAAGGTGCTCAACCGAAAGCGGTCGGTACCCGCAACGCGATACTCACAACTGCAAATGGTTGGGTCTTTCGCCGGGATACCTCTTTGGCGACGACGCTGACGCGACGTCGGCGGCCATACAAACGCCGGGACCGCGCAACCAACCCGGCCTCCCAAGGGTGCTGGAGTACGAGCGGGAATCATGGCGAAGACACGCACGTGGGCGCCGCTCGCTCCCTGGCGGCCCTTCCTCGACCCTTTGCGCCCCCTCGCGCCGAGTGCAACAAAAAACTGGGGAGTGCCTGCGCGGGCGGGAAACACTAGATTGGGCAATTGATTGGGCAGCAACCGACTAAATCGCGATTGATATTGCAGCTTCGCCCCCGCCCGCTTCGCGCCAACCCGCTTCGCCCCTGCGAGCGGAAGGGGAGGACCGAAGTGCCTAACCGTCCGAAGGGAGAGGAGCAGGTGACTGTGATGAGGATGCTTTCCCTGCTCACAATCCAGAAGAAGCCCTTCGCGTGTCAATCCAATACCTGGGCCGGAAAGGGCAGCGGTAGAGAGAGCGAGAGAGAGAGAGAGAGTAGGAGGGAGAGAATGAAAGGATTCACACGAACACCCCGTCCCGAATCCCGCCCAAAGGACACGTGCCACGACGGCGCCCCCAGAAACGGGTTTCGCAAACAGAAGTGTGAATCCAATTGCCCTCGCCTCGAACTCACCGCTCTGTAATGCGTAGCGCGGCCAGGAAAGATAATAAATTAAGTGCCAAGTTCCTACCGCGGATGGAAACGCGAAACTGATGCGTAACGCTGGAATTTCGCCCATCGAAGTCCGCGGGTTCCAAGCTGGGCACGATCGGCGGCAACCGCCGAACATGTAAAAAATGATCGCGAACCGCAAATGCAGGTTTTTGAGACCCATATCGTCGTGGCCGGAATGCATTAATTTTCGCTGGACGTCATAGCGTTATGTCGGGCGTGTCCCCCTACAGGGGGATTTTCGACGAAAAATTCGCCGGCCCAACGGGCCAGGGCGTGCTAAGATCTCCGGTACCTGGTTAACAGTATTTCTAGTTCGCGCGCGCGGGGCGGCCCCTGGGGGTCCCCGGACGAAAAGTACCCCGGCAAGGTCCCGGCAAGTCCCGGCAAGGTCGGGCCAGAGATGCCGGAGCCCTGTTACAGGGCCCCAGGACGGGCCAAGAGGTCCCCAAGAAGCCTCCAAGACGGTCCAAGAGGGCCCCGAGACGGCCAAAGATCGCCCGAAGACGCCCAACAGGGCCCCAAGACAGCCCAAGAGGCCTCCAAGACGCCCCAAGGGCCTTCCAAGAGGCCTCCGAAGAGGGCCCCAAGAGGCCAAAATCGTTGATTTTCATTGTTTTTTCTATGTTTTTTGCGTTCTGGCTTTTTCGGCTTCCGGACGCTCCAAGACGGCCCAAGAGGCCCCCAAGACCGCTCCAAGACGGCCCACGAGGCTCCCAAGACGGCCCGGGAACGGCCCAGGAGGGCCCCCAAGACGGCCCAAGTGCCGCCCTAGACGGACCAAGAGGCCCCAAGACGGGCCCAAGAGGGGCTCAAGAGGAGAACCGAGAACTGAAAAATCGAGCCTTCCGCCCCAGAAGGCGCCCAGGAGGCCCCAAAAAGGCCCCAAGAGGCCCCCACCCCAAGAGGCCCCCAAGACGCCCCAAGAGGCGCCCAAGAGGCCCAAAAGATGCCCCAAGAGGCCCAAAAACGGCCCCAAAACTCGGCTAGCCCACAACGGTGCGACAATATGGGCCGACGGAATGAGCGAAGCGATTAAATAAAAAAAAAAAAAAAAAAAAAAAAAAAAAAAAATCAAAAAATAATACAAAATTATCCCGGCAAAGCAACCTAACAGCGATGTGTAGAAGCATATCTGAAAGCATTCCCCTTAAGATTCAGATGAAAATCCAGTTGTCGAATTCTGCTGTTCTCGCAGTCGTAGTCGCATTCGCGATGACAGTCGCAGCGGCAACGGCAGTCGCAGTCACAGCCTCAGCCTCAGCCTGCCTCCTCCTCCTCCTCCTCCTCCTCTCTCCTCCTCTCCTCCTCCTCCTCCTCCTCCTCCTCCTCCTCTTCCTCCTGCTCGTCCTCGTTCTCGTCCTCCTCGTCTTGCTCGTCCTCCTCCTCCTGGTGTTCTCTCCTCCTCCTCCTCCTCCTCCTCCTCCTGGTGGTCCTCGTTCTCCTCCTCCTGGTGCTCTCCCCCCCCCTCCTCCTCCTCGTCCTCCTCCTCCTCCTCCTCCTCGTCCTCCTCCTCCTCTTCCTCCTCCTCCTCCTCCTCCTCCTCCTCCTCCTGGTAGTCCTCCCCCTCCTCCTCCTCCTCCTCCTCCTCCTCTTCCTGGTCGTCCTCGTTCTCGTCCTCCTCGTCTTGCTCGTCCTCCTCCTCCTGGTGTCCTCCTCCTCCTCCTCCTCCTCCTCCTCCTCCTCCTCCTCCTCCTGGTGGTCCTCGTTCTCCTCCTCCTGGTACTCTCCCCCCCCCTCCTCCTCCTCCTCCTCGTCCTCGTCCTCCTCCTCCTCCTCCTCCTCTCCTCCTCCTCCTCCTCCTCCTCCTCCTCCTCCTCCTGGTACTCCTCCCCCTCCCCTCCTCCTCCTCCTCCTCCTCCTCCTCTTCCTGGTCGTCCTCCTCCTCCTGGTCGTCCTCCTCCTCCTGCTCGTCCTCCTCCTCTCCTGCTCGTCCTTCTTCTCCTGCTCCTCCTGCTCCTCGTCCTGCTCCTGCTCGTCCTCGTCCTCCTGGTCTTGCTCGTCCTCCTCCTCGTCGTGCTCTTGCCCCTGCTGAAAATGTGGCCCAGGAATCGGAGTTCTGGGAAGTCGAAAAGCACGAAGTTGCCTACAGTTCGCTACGGGCATTCAAAATGTGGCCCGGGAATGGAGTTCTGGGAACTCGAAGAGCACGAAGTGGCCTACAGTTGGCTCCGGGCATTCAAAATGTGGCCCGGGAATGGAGTTCTGGGAACTCGAAGAGCACGAAGTGGCCTACAGTTGGCTCCGGGCATTCAAAATGTGGCCCGGGAATGGAGTTCTGGGAACTCGAAGAGCACGAAGTGTGTGACTGTTGCATCCGGGCATCCAAAATGTAGCCCGGGAATGGCGTTCTGGGATGTCGAAGAGCACGAAGTGTGTGACTGTTGCATCCGGTTATTCTAAATGTGGCCCGGGAATGGCGTTCTGGGATCTCGAAGAGCACTTTGTGTGTGACTGTTGCATCCGGGTATTCAGAATGTGGCCTGGGAATGGAGTTCTGGGAAGTCGAAGAGCACGAAGTGTGTGACTGTTGGTGAAAAACGAGCCCGGCACCCTGCCGCCCGGCAACTCCCCAACACCTGCCCGGACCCCCCTGTGGAGTGATCTGTGAGCTCTTTTGAGTCAACTAGAAACCTATCAGTCTTCGCTGTTAGGTAAATAGTCGGGGTACTATTTTTGGAGTATTTTTTATAATTTGGAGGTATTTTTTTTTTTAGTATTTTTAATTTTTCGCCCAAAATCCCCCTGTAGGGGGACAGGCCCGACTTTGTCATAGCGTTGACTATTCGTTCGGCTCAAGGAAAAGATTTTATCTACGAGGGCTCAGCGTTATGATCGGCGCCGTTTTGGCGAGGCAGTCCTGTGCCGGTGCTCTGACACGTCAGTCATAACGAAAGGAAATTGCAACCCCATCGCACTTCGCGGTTTTCATCATGGTTTCGTCATAGACAGGCCAAGACCGAAAAAACCGTAGCGCCCCAGAACGCCATTCTTGGCGATCCCAGGATCGTTTCGTCATAGCCAGGCTAACACAGAAAACAGCGCAACGTCCCAGAGCGCCATTCCTGGCGATCTCATCGGCGATTCGCTTGAGCCAGGCGAAATCCGAACAATTCGTAACGATGCAGCCGCTGCATCCCATCGGCCACGTAGCCTGATCGGAACAGTGCGTCCTATGGGGGAGAGTTCACCTGCTCGAAACAGGCACCAAATACAACCAAGAACTACTCCATGGGGGGGAGAAGGGGTACGAGGGCCCGCGCCGACCGGCAAAACAATTAACTTGGCGAATGACCCAACCATATGCAGTTCTGAGCACCGCAACTGTGAATATCTTCTTTGGAGGAGCTCCCTGTGGGGCCACGAACCCTTTCAGGGGTGGGCCGAAATGGGTGCGGCGGACGCATGTGGACGGTGGCACTGGGGACTTCTGTGGAGTTCCCTATTGGGCCACGAAGCGTGTGAGGGCGGTACCGAAACGGGTGTGGGGGACGCATGCGGGCGGTGGCACTGGAGCCTTCGGTGGAGCTCCCTATGGGGTCACGCAGCGTGTGAGGGGTGTGCCGACACGGGTGTGGGGGATGCATGTGGACGGTGGCACTGGGTCCTTTGGTGGAGCTCCCTATGGGGCCACGAAGTGTGTGAGGGGTGTGGCGAAATGGGTCTGGGGGGCGCATGTGGACGGTGGCACTGGGTCCTTTGGTGGAGCTCCCTGTGGGGCCACGAAACCATGACGCATGTGGACGGTGGCACTGGGGCTTTCGGAGGAGCTCCGTGTGGGGCCACGAAACGTGTGAGGGGTGTGCCGAAATGGGTGTGGGGGACGCATGTGGACGGTGGCACTGGGACCTTCGGTTCAGCTCCCTATGGGGTTACGAAACGTGTGAGGGGTGTGACGACACGGGTGTGGGGGATGCATGTGGACGGTGGCACTGGGGCCTTCGGTGCAGCTCCCTATGGGGCCACAAAAGTGTAATGGGTGTGCCGAAATGGGTGTGGGGGACGCATGTGTACGGTGGCACTGGGGCCTTCGGTGCAGCTTCCTATGGGGCCAAGAAGCGTGTGAAGGGTGTGACGACATGGGTGTGGGGGACGCATGTGGACGGTAGCACTGGGGCCTTCGGTGCAGCTCCCCATGGGGTCACGAAACGTGAGGGTATGCCAAAGTGAGGGGGGTGACGGGAGGAGGAGGAGGAGGAGGAGGAGGAGGAGGAGGAGGAGGAGGAGGAGGCGGAGGAGGAGGAGGGGGAGGGGGAGGGGGAGGGGGAGGAGGAGGAGAGGAAGGAACGCGGGGCGCTGTCTCTGCAAAACGAGGAACCAACACCACAGGATGGTTGTGAATGGTAAAGGAAACATCACAACGCGGAGGACACGATGCCTTGTAAACTACGCCGGCTTCGCGACTCACAAAAAGCCACGAACCTAGTGCACGGCAGCGGCACCAGAGCGCCCCCCCCTCGCCAGAGCACACAAACAGCTATAATGTTCTATTTTGGGGTGTGTGCTCGGGGGCGCTGTTCGGACCCCTGCCATTTCCTGCCAACTCGGCGCTGGAACCGCATCCCGGAATCATCAAAACCGGGTCGCCAGGTATGTGTGCTCGGGGAGCGCTGTGCGGACCCCTGCCATTTCCTGCAAATTCGGCGCTGAAGCTGAATCCAAGAATTATCAAAACCAGCACCAAATCGCCAGGGATGCCAGGAACCAGCATGCAGCCACACCCAAGTGATCTTGCTTAAGGTGGTCCCAAGCAGCCCGTAGTCGTTCCAAGAGTTTCTAATCCACAACATGGGGGCCACGCTGTAAGAAGAGAACAACACGTTCAAACATATATCCAACATCTGAATATGTTCTGCTGATTGCTGGCCCTCCTCGCATGATGTTCCCACATGTCTTGAAGACGACGCCAAGATATCTCAATCTAACTCTGACATATACTGTTTTTGTAGAAAGGGGGCCGGCAGCAAAGGGCGAAACCCTTACAGATACCCATCGGTCGGAAGAAGCAGGTAGAAACATGAAGTAGGAAGGCGTTGAAAGTAGTTTGGGTGTCCGCCCGCGCCTAAGGAGGACGGAAAGGGTGACGCCACCCGATCCTTGAAGTAGGAAGGCGCTGAAAGTAGATTGGAATCTGGGACTCCAAAAATACCGACCTACTCTCAACGACCGATGGGTACTGTTCTGGTAGAAGAGGGGCCGGCGGCAGAGGGCGAAACCCTTACAAAGAAACCGTGAGGGCACCTCAGGCCAGACGGTTGCCGGACGGGGCGATCTCGGGAAGCGGTCCTGGGCTATCCTCACCCCCTTTGTGGGGCGCTCTTCTGTGGTGGCTTCTTAGAAAGGACCAGGAGGACCTGACATGTAGCGTGTCGCTGGAGGTTCGAATCGGAGCAGACAAATGCTCAACCCCTCTTGGAACCCTCCAGCGACCCGCTCCTCGAGAACAACAAGCGAAGACGAGGGACGCGGAGCGGTATAATTAGGCACCCTCGTTGCATGGGGGAGCCTCAGTGACTGCTCTCTCCTTGGGCTGGAGGGCGGACAGCACGTGCACCTGGTACACAGAACGCACCCACGCCTGCGTGGGCCCCGTTGTGCTCTCGGCTTGGTTGCCTCGACACGCCCGTTTGAAACGCAACACGTCCCGTGTTCAAGACGTCCGTGTCAATACGTTGGGTGTCGGCTCCGCGTATCGGACCACGCTTTGGCGAATGCACCGCGTCGGACCTACGCTTTCAGTCTACGTGTTGAGCTCCGTACCAATACGATACGTGTTGCGTGTTGCGCCTCGGGGCAGCCAAGGCTCTCGGCCAGCGGCCCGCGGGGCAGCGGCTGGGCGCCTCGGCCAGGGCCTCGTCCTCGCCGGTGTGCGCCGGCGCGGGCGAGGGCGACCGGGACGCGGAGTCCGGCCGTCGCGCCTCTCGCGGCGAGGGGGGGTGGGGGGCCCCCCGTGGGGTCCGCCTCCGCGTCCGCCGCCTCCTCGTCCTCCTGCCGTCGCTGCCGCTGCCGGCCCCAGTGTCGAGCACGACGCAGCCGTCCCCCCTCCCCTCCTCCCCTTCCCCCCCCCCCGCAGGGGCACAACGGTTGAGGAAACCCTGGCTGTAGGATAGGAGGTGAGGCAAAAGGGACAAGACGGGCGGAGGACCCCCTGCGAGGGGGAGGGAGGAGGAGGGAGGACCCTCCTCCTCCTCCTCCTCCTCCTCCTCCTCCTCCTCCTCCTCCTCCTCCTCCTCCTCCCCTCCTCCTCCTCCTCCCCCCCTCCTCCTCCTCCTCCTCCTCCTCCTCCTCCTCCTTTTCGTCGTCCTCCTCCTCCTCCTCCTCCTCCTCGTCCTCGTCCTCGTCCTCCTCCTCCTTTCCCTCCGCCCCCTTCTCCTCCGCCCTCCTCGGCCCGGGGGCACCCGAGTGGTCTGCCGTCCCCACCCTTTCCGTCCATCCCCTTCTGTCCATCCTCTCCCGTTTCCTCCTCCCTTCCTCCCGTTTCCCTCCTCCTCCCTTCGTCTGCTTCCGAACCCGATCCCCCCCCAACCTTGTGCCTCGGCCCCCTCGGTACATCGAGAGGTGGTGTCGATGTAAAATTCTCGGCCGTTCTGAGGGGCTACCTGGGGCTCTCGTCGAATCCCTTTTGGGCCCCACGGGTTGCCGCTACTTGTGGTTGTTGCACTCATGGCGCACTCCCAGTGGAGCCTAGTAGATTCCAACGCCCCTTACACAATAAAGAACAATTCAGCACTAGGAAATTCCAGCCGATCCTCCTCATCCTCCTCATTCTCTACGTATGCTTTCTCTCTCCCCGACAGAAAGGGCTCTACCCTCTGCCACGGCCAGTGCTGCCCAGGGCAGGGGGTCACGGATAGATGCTTTCTGGGGCCCGCCGCAAACCAATACCCTGCTCAAAGGCTGCGGGAGACGGGGTCGGGTCGAGCCAGGGCAAGCGCTGCCGCCCCCCCTCCCACCCTCCCTGGGCCCCTCTTCTCCATATCATCCATCCCTCTCCTCCTCCTCCTCCTTCTCCTCCTCGTCCTTCTCCTTCCCCTTCCTTTTCTCCTTTTGATTCTCCTTTCATTCTCCTTCTCCTTCTCCTTCTCCTTCTCCTTCTCCTCTTCCTCCTCCTCCTCCTCCTCCTCCTCCTCCTCCTCCTCCTCCTCCCTCCTCCCTCCTTCGCTCATTCTTTGGAGGCTTCGTCTCCCTTCACTCCCTTCACTCCCTAGTTCTCACCCGGAGGTGATGCGACCTGGAAGGTCGGACGACTGGCTGACGCCCCGGCGTATGGAATGGCTTGCGCAGAATTGGTGTGGCCCCACTCCTGCGAGCAGTGGAGCGCACTTCGCGGGCCCGTTGCGTCCGCCGCAGGGCCTGACCGCAGCCTCCGCGGCCCTCCTTTCTAACTGTCCCCCCCCCGTCGCTCGCCTCCCTCTTCTCCCCCCTCTCCTCGTCTACGGCCTCCTCTCTTCTTCTTCTCCTGCCTTCGCCGTCCGGGCATCCTGGCCCTTCGCTCCCCTGCCACCGTCCGGCCTGAGCCGGAAGAGTGTCCGGGCGGCACGTGTGGGATTCCCGCACTAGTCGCCTCATCGGACGTTGCTGGCTGCAGGCTTCGCGCGGGAAGTTCCGCCCGGCCCAGCTTGACACAAAAGGGCCCCTACCTGGGGGCTCGACATGTTGCTTTCCCCGGGGGAGCCCAGCCAGCCAACCCCTCCCTTTCCTACCCCTCCTCCTCCTCCTCCTCCCTCCTCCCTCCCCCCCCCCTCCCTCCCTACTCCTCCCTTCCTCTTGCCTCCCTCCTTCCTCCCTCCTCCTTCCGTCCTCCTGCTCACTCTTCCTTCTGCCCCTCCTCCTCCTCCCTCCCTCCTCTCTGTATCCTGCCCCCCTTTCCCTTCCTCTCCCCCCCCCGTGGAGTTGACAGAACCGCGTGCGTGTGTGCATGTGTTTTCATAATATCACAAGCCACGTTCTCATGATGTCGTTGTCGCGCTCCAGACATTACACCGAAACCATCGATATGGCAACGACGATGGAGATTCTACAATGATGGTGAAATTGCTACGAAGCGAATTTTGCACATGCGGTGCTTGCGCGAGCGCCTTGCGGTCGGCGCAATTCCGCTTCGACGGCGCGGGGGCGAGCTTTCACCTTGGCGCGAAGCTTTGGTTTGACATATACGTCGCAGGCAAGCAGCGATTTCAGCCGATGAATGAACGATTCCAGTGGAGTAGTACCGTACATGTGTGGAGCATCTGGATCTGTATGCACGAGTAGGAATGCATTCGTGAAGGTCCCAAGACTTTGCTTAGCAGTAGCGCCCTTCAACGACGTAAGCACAGTGCCGCCCTGTTCTTTGCGGCGGCGCATTGCTGTCAGATGTATGAAACAGACGGCAGCAATGTCGCGAACAAAATGGTCAATGCTCGCATGCGACCTCGCTTGTTATGTGGGCGCCGCAATATGTTCAAGAAGACACCTGGCGCGCGCGGGAGTCATGTGCGAAATCGTGTTTCCCAGCTTCGGCTCGCCATCGCCCCTGCGCGCGTTGTTTGTGATATTGTGAATCGCCGGATGAAGAACCCTTGCGGAACTTCGCTAAACACCTGCGGATTGCGGCCGAACGCGGCGATGCTTTCTTCCAGGGCGACGCGCAGTGGGTCTCTGCGAATGCACTGAGGCTTCGGAACATGCGCGAACATGTCTGGGAAATCTAAGGAGCCAGGGCGATCGCAGTGGATGGTGCGGACGCTGGGCGCACCATCCTGCGCCGCTTTGTTCAGCGCAGAAAGTGCGCTGGGCGAAGGCTTCCGAAGGTTTCGGCTCCCCCGCGTCTCGCGCTGGGGATGGGTCGAGCGCGATCACCCTGGCGCTCCTGGTCGTCAACTGGCCTACTTCCGAAAAGTGTTTGGCATGAAACTGGCGGCAGAAACTTGCGCTAGCCGTCAACTGCCAGCGCGCTCTTATCAATCGCCCCCCTGCAAAATCACGCAGCGCGCTGGATTGTGCGATTCTCCAGCGGTTGCTCTGCAATCGCGCGGTGACTCCCTGCTCTTTTCGGCGGGGGGGGCGAGCGGGCCCCGCGCTTGCCGAGAAGGTGGGCGGGTGCTCGAGAGACGGCGCCCTTGGTTGTCGGATGAATCAGCGCAGCCAGGCAGCGCGCAGATAATTTGTTGGCTTAGCAGTACTGGGCGAATAACTAGTGGCGCGCGTGCTCGTCGTCGCTTGGGATGCAGCGAGCGTCGCCAACTTCCAGCGACATTGCGATTGCCCTGTCGAACCAAGCATTGCCATTCAGGCGCTGCATGCCAGGCGAGCATCACGGCCGCGACGGCGACGTGTAAAGCTGCGAGCGCATGTCCTGGACGGCGCCGCAAACCCGCCGGCCGCCCACTGGGGCGAACTGAGCGGGCAGAAGGCGCGGCAGGACTGCGCGGGCGCAATCGGCTGGCCAGCGGCGCCGCGCAAGCCTGGCGAACTTCTGAAATTGCAATGGCACGCTTCGGAGTTGGGTGGATACTTGTAAGATGTCCGCGATGTCGCTCGCGACGCGGAAAGACTCTCGCAGGGCGCCGAGGGCGCCGCCGAGCGCCCGAGCTGCCGACAACCTTGTCCGCCGCCACCATGGCGGTCGCCGCCCGCTGGTCTCTATCAACGCGCCATTTCCGCGTCTCGCCAGAAAATGTGGATTTCCTGCTGCGCAGCGAGTCGACTTCCCCGCCGCCAATGAAACCATCCGGCCCGCTCGGACTTCTCGTGGAAGTTTTCGAAGAACGAATGTCTGCAGCAACGAAAATACTCTGCGTTCCGAGGACAACGGCCGCCAGACTCTCGTCGACCCCGGGCGTAAAAATGAGCTGCGCCGTGCCGCTGCGAAAGCGGGCGACCGCGCGCTCGCCGACGCGCAGCGCGCGCGTGGCCGTCGCCGTCGCTCGCCACGAAAAGGCCGCCGCTGTGCGCGCGCGAAGGTGGACAGCGCTCCACTTGGCAACGGAGAAGGCGCAGCATGCTGCAGCCGTCCTGGACATCGAATGCAGGCGCGTCTTTGCGCGAGACGTGCGAACGGGGCGCCGCGCGCGTTCCCATGGGATTGAAGTGGGTGGCGCCTTTCATATGCACCAGGGCTACGCGGGGCACCCCGGTGGACAAATCGCGGGAGCAATGCCCCCGTTGTCCGCGACGCCAACGCAATGTCTAAGCCGCGTGTGCCACATGCGCGCGAGACACCCCGCGCGAGACAGGCAGCGCGCGCAATGCCCCATTGATCCAGGTGCCCGAACAACTTCAAAAACCATTGGCGACATTGCCGCGTGGCGATTGACACATCGTCGCCCCCGGAAGCCATCAGTCTGGCACGCCCGCAAAATCCACCATGAATCCACCGGTGCGCCTGCAGTGCCAATGCCGAGCCGCGCGTTGCCATATGATCGTGCCTGGCGCGGGTCGTGGGGCCCTTGTGAGAACTCCCCCCTGGCTGAACAACGATATCTTTCAGCTCCCAGGCTCTCGCCGCGGACTCGTGTCGGCGCTTCTCGAGGCGAATGGGCTCGTCGCTTTGGTCCGCGAGGCGCTGCAAGACGCCCCCCCTGCCTCGTGCAGAGATCAATCGCGCCCCCCCCCGCGCGCCTGGCGGGCGCGCCGGGCCGGGGGGGGGGGCGAAGGGCGCGGCCTGACTGCCCCCCCCCCGCCCCCTCTGCTGTCGCCGACGGGATCGCGCAGACGCGGCGTCCTTCTCCGCTGGCGCATATGAAATGCTCGTTTCGAACTCAAGTTCGACCCCCCGTATGCGCCGAGCCCTTTCGGGGGAGGGGGCAATAAAGGGAAACGCGCGCGAAAACTCTGGGCGCGCGTTTCTCGTCTGCGCGAAAACTCCGGGCATGCGGCGCGCGAAGACTTGCCGCGCGCCGCATGCGCCGGGGTTCGTCTGACATAGCGGCTAGTG